CCTGCGGTGGTGGCGCGCGCCTGTGGTTCCAGCTATTTGGAAGGCTGCAGCGGAAGGATCGCCTGAGCCCAGCAGATGGAGCCTGCAGTAGCCGTGAGCGTGCCACTACACTCCATCCTGGGCGACAGAGTGAGACTCCTACTCAAAAAATAATAAAATAGCTGAGACAGACACAAGGGCAATTCCCCCCCCCCCCAATAATCTACAATACAAAGTTGAGAGGCCCAAAGACACACACAGTGATAGGAACAAAAGCACAGAAAGAGACAGACAGCAAAACTGTTTACCGCTAATAACAACCGATTCAGGCTGTCTAACTCACAGGGTCAAAGGACAGACACCGTCTCCCTTTGGGGGCCTCTGCACCAGACCTGGCTCTGGCTTGCTTATCGTCGGGCACCGAACGGTCACTCTGCGGCCAGGGAAGTCTCCAGTACAGGCTCAAGAAGACCTTCTTATTTATGCGTTTATTCTTTTGACGCGGGCCATTCATGACAGGTGGGAGAGGTGAGATTCGGACGGTGGGAGCCTCGCCCCTGCCCAGGTAGGGAGGCCACGAACCGCCTCTCAGGGCTCGGCCTCAGCAGGCGGCGGGCAGTCCCATCACCCCGCCGGCAAGCGCTTGGGACCCAGGCGCCGCCCGCTCTCCGTGTCCCTAGCCGTCGCTAGGCGCGCGCGGCGGACACCACGCTCAGGTTTGGCCAGCGCCAGTCCCTGGCCCGGATCTCGCGCTCCAAGTCTTCCCAGCAACAAGCGGGCGGCCAGGCGGAGACTCTCGTCCCGAGGGCGGGTGCGGGTTCTCGCCGCCGGGCTTGGCCCCCTCCCCGGGAAATCCGCACGGAGAGTGAGAGCAGCGGCAGCAGCGGCTCCGCTCTGGGTCCCAGGAAAGAAGGCGTCCGCAGGGCTACGGAGGTCCCGCCGGGAGGGCGGAAGTGGTAAGACTGACGTGTCCTGGGCTGCCCTCTCGATCGCCGGGAGGACCCTCCCCGTGGGGACGGGCGAGCCGTGCCTCCTGGGTCTCCAGAGCTGGTCCTGGCCTCTGGCTGGAGAAAGCTCATTGGGGAGGACTTAGCTGAGCCGAGTGCGGATCCAGAGTGGCGTGGCCGCAGACACCGCCATCAGGCGCAGCGGCGGACAACCCCGTGGAGGCCGGTCGCCAGGTCCTCTCCAACTCGCCGCCGCCGCGCCGCTCAGGGGGAGACCCCGGCAGAAGCCCAAGGGCAGCTACGGGGCCGCAGAGGCCGCCGGCACCGCCTCGGCCAGCCCTTCCCGCGCCGTGAGGACCCCGGGGCTGTGGCGGGAAGGGACCCGAGGTGCGAGGCCGCGCGGCGTTGCCATGGAAACCGGCTGGCGCGCTCCGTAGAGACCCCGGGCGGGCGCGGGCTGCTGGAGGGGTGAGCCCCAGGTTGGGAGGCTTAGAGAGCAGAGGCGAGCCCAGTTTGGAGACAGAGAAGTGGTGTGGTGTGGGGGCGGGGGTCAGTGGGAAGAAGAGGAGCCAGTGGGTGTCAGTTCAAGGGACCTGGCCCGGGGCATCCTAAGTTGATCCCTGGTTTCTGTAACCTCAGGACTCCCCCATACAGGTGCACTGCCTTAAGGATGACAGTCCTAGGGCACCCTCGAAGTTGGAGCTGCCAGTGGTTGCCAGTCTTGATACTGCTTCTGGGCACAAACCATGGGCCAGAGGTGGAAGGCGTGACACACTACAAGGCCGGCGACCCTGTGGTTCTATATGTCAACAAAGTGGGACCCTACCATAACCCTCAGGAAACTTACCACTACTACCAGCTTCCAGTCTGCTCCCCTGAGAAGATACGTCACAAAAGCCTTAGCCTGGGTGAAGTGCTGGATGGGGACCGTATGGCTGAGTCTTTGTATGAGATCCGCTTTCGGGAGAATGCGGAGAAGAAAATTCTGTGCCACATGCAGCTCAGTTCTGCACAGGTCAGCCTCCTTCCCAGGGACTAGCAGTGCCTCGCAATTATGGTCTAGAGTACCTTTATGGAAATTGTAAGTTTTGATTCACACTACAGTAGAACCCTATGTGACAGTCAGGGCAGATATTATTCTAATTTGGTTTTCTAAGAAACATACTTGCTCAGATTACATGGATACTAAATTGCAAAGCTGATTTTTATTAGAGCCCAGGGCTCCTTACTGCAAGCTTATCTGTTGGTAACAAGGTCCTAACTGTCACTAGTACATAGTTCTGTTTCCTTCCATGCCTACCTCTTGGCTCTCTTCTAACTGGCTTCTGACCTTCTCTGCCATGCTTTTTCTTTAGTGATTCCTGGCACTTCTCCCTAGTGTACTCTAGACCTTCTTACATCTTGTTTCTCTCCTTTTTCTAGATCTTAACCCTGTCAAGTCCTACTTACTCTTTTTTGAAGAACCCCAACATACTAGAATCTGAGTTTCAACAGGGAAGAGTTTTGTCCTCCAAGGGACATTTGGCAATGTCTGAGACATTTTTTGATTGTCACAATGCAGGGGTGGGGGTGTGGGGGTGACTGGCATGTCGTGGGAAGAGGCTAGGGATGCAGCATCCTGCAATACACAGGACAGCCCCCGTACAACGAAGAATTGCCCAACCCAAAAAATCAGTAGTGTTGAAGTTGAGAAACCTTGCTCTAACCCTATGCCTTGGGAGGTCTTATGTGACCAACCCCTGACTTGCTCTTTATAGGTGGAGCAGCTGCGCCAGGCCATCGAGGAACTGTACTACTTTGAATTTGTGGTAGATGACCTGCCAATCCGTGGCTTTGTGGGCTACATGGAGGAGAGCGGCTTCCTGCCACACAGCCACAAGATAGGACTCTGGACCCATTTGGACTTCCACCTAGAATTCCATGGAGATCGAATTATATTTGCCAATGTTTCAGTGCGGGATGTCAAGCCCCACAGCTTGGATGGGTTACGACCTGATGAGTTCTTAGGCCTTACTCACACTTATAGCGTGCGCTGGTCTGAGACTTCGGTGGAGCGTCGGAGTGACCGGCGCCGTGGTGATGATGGTGGTTTCTTTCCCCGAACACTGGAAATCCATTGGTTGTCCATCATCAACTCCATGGTACTTGTATTTTTACTGGTGGGTTTTGTGGCTGTCATTCTAATGCGTGTGCTACGGAATGACTTGGCTCGGTACAACTTGGATGAGGAGACTGCCTCTGGAAGTTCTGGTGATGACTTTGACCAGGGTGACAATGGCTGGAAAATTATCCATACAGATGTCTTCCGCTTCCCTCCATATCGTGGTCTGCTCTGTGCTGTGCTTGGCGTGGGTGCCCAGTTCCTGGCCCTTGGCACTGGTGAGGTGATAAGAATTAATCAAGGGTTTATCTCAAGGGGTAGAACTAGGTAATTTGTTCAGAAAAGGTCTGTGGATTTTCTCTTCTGTCCCTGGTGATGGGCAGACCTAAGGGATGGGGTGGCTCTAATGAGGATATATGTATTCTATTGTAAGTTTTCTGGACCACATAATCAGGAGAAATTGTTTTGCTAGAGGTCTGGGAGAAAAGGGGCTGATCCCTCTGAAATTACTAGAAAAGGTACAGTTGAGGCCTAACATGGGCTTTCCACTACCACCTGCAGGCATTATTGTCATGGCGCTGCTGGGCATGTTCAATGTGCACCGTCATGGGGCCATTAACTCGGCAGCCATCTTGTTGTATGCCCTGACCTGCTGCATCTCTGGCTACGTGTCCAGCCACTTCTACCGGCAGATCGGAGGCGAACGTTGGGTGTGGAACATCATTCTCACCACCAGTCTCTTCTCTGGTGAGGACTTCCCTTTCCCTGGTGAGCCTGCCTGGACTTAGGAACTAAGAACATATCATGGAATTTGAGATATAGTCAGAGTGAGGCTTGAAGGTAAAAGAATATTGCAAAAGAAACAATAAGAAAACCATCAAAAAAGATAAGAATTCATTTAAAAAATTTTTTTTGTTTATTATTTATTTTTTTGAGTCAGGGTCTCATTCTTTTTTTTTTTTGAGTTGGAGTCTCACTCTGTCGCCCAGACTGGAGTGCAGTGCCCGCTCC